GGTATCCAATGACGCAAGATCCATGTAAGAATTTGTCAATAGCTTGCGTTACATAAAGTATTGGAAAATCAGTTAATCTTCTTTATAAATTTACCAGTAAACGGCTAATCAACCACTTTTGGTTGTAGGCATATTAAACTAGTGTATCGGGTAGAAACCCAATGCGGATATATTCACACCGTACCATCAAAAGTCTTATGGATAGACCAAGATTTGCTCAGCATAAGTTTGAAGGGTGGGCGTGAAGTACGGCCGAGACCCATATCGACACAGTTCAAAAGTTATACCTAATTTATGTCATAATTATGTCAGCTACAAAAAACACTTAGTTTGAATTTTATCACCATCGGGAACACTATGAACCAGTATAGCTGATTTTGGTCCAAATCTCGGCCATACTTCATACTTATTTGAACCACATTTTCTCGTTAAAATATGTTAAAATATTATTAAAAAGTTATTAATCCTGAATTATGTCGCTATTTTGTCAAGTGTTTTAAGATAAAGAATTTGTATTTTGGTTTTCACAGTGAAGAATATGAACAAAATTCAGATGGGGTAGTCGAAATTTTAAATTTCGGTTTTTTTAAGCTATGCATTACAAAAAGTAATATTGGTATGTGATTTATGTCAGAATTATGTCAATTCAAATAAAACATCCAAAAAATTTTTTTGACCAAAGAACCAAGTAGGAAATACATTTTCAATTTTGGACTAGGGGCGACCCTAGTCATAATCAATTTTGTCACTTTTTCTTCGAGGGTTTATCCAAATGGATTGAAACTTTGCATAAATATTCTAGTGCTTAAAAAAAATACAAATAAAACATCCTAAATTTTTTTGAGCAAAGAACCAAGTAGGAAATACAATTTCAATTTTGGACTAGGGGCAACCCTTGTCATAATCAATTTTGTCACTTTTTTCTTCGAGGGTTTATCCAAATGGATTGAAACTTTGCACGAATATTCTAGTGCTTAAAATAAATACAAATAAAACATCTTAAAATTTTTTTGAGCAAAGAACCAAGTAGGAAATACAATTTCAATTTTGGACTAGGGGCGACCCTTGTCATAATCAATTTTGTCACTTTTTTCTTCGAGGGTTTATCCAAATGGATTGAAACTTTGCATGAATATTCTAGTGCTTAAAACAAATACAAATAAAATATCCTAAAATTTTCGTGAGCAAAGAACCAAGAAGGAAATACATTTTCAATTTTGGACTAGGGGCGACCCTAGTCATAATCAATTTTGTCACTTTTTTCTTCGAGAGTTTATCCAAATGGATTGAAACTTTGCATAAATATTCTAGTGCTTAAAACAAATACAAATAAAATATCCTAAAATTTTCGTGAGCAAAGAACCAAGAAGGAAATACATTTTCAATTTTGGACTAGGGGCGACCCTAGTCATAATCAATTTTGTCACTTTTTTCTTCGAGAGTTTATCCAAATGGATTGAAACTTTGCATAAATATTCTAGTGCTTAAAACAAATACAAATAAAACATCTTAAAATTTTTTTGAGAAAAGAACCAAGAAGGAAATACATTTTCAATTTTGGACAAGGGGCGACCCTAGTCATAATCAATTTTGTCACTTTTTTTCTTCGAGAGTTTATCCAAATGGATTGAAACTTTGCACGAATATTCTAGTGCTTAAAACATCCAAAAATTTTTTGAGCAAAGAACCAAGAAGGAAATACATTTTCAATTTTGGACAAGGGGCGACCCTAGTCAAAATCAATTTTGTCACTTTTTTTCTTCGAGAGTTTATCCAAATGGATTGAAACTTTGCATAAATATTCTAGTGCTTAAAACAAATACAAATAAAACATCCTAAAATTTTTTTGAGCAAAAAACCAAGTAGGAAATACATTTTTAATTGTGAACTTGGGACAGGTCCAGTCAAAATCGAGTTTTTCACTTTTTCCTTCGAGGATAAATCCAAATACAGTAAAACTTTGTATGAGCATTCTAATCTTCAGGTCACACATTTCTGAATTAATAAAAATCATTTTTATTGACAAAATTTTAAGTCACGTTGTTTTTGAATGTACAACCAAATTTATAAAATTTGGGTCTGACGACATATAGAATACATTTCTTGCTTTAGATGTTTAAAACTGTTTTGTATAAATATTAGTATACTCACACAAAGTTTCACTGTAATTGGATAAACCTTCGAAGAAAAAAGTGACAAACTAGATTTTGACAAGGGTCGCCCCTAGTCCAAAATTGAAAATGTATTTCCTACTTGGTTCTTTGCTCAAAAAATATTTTTCATCCAAAGTTTAATTTAAAATAAAAAAAAATCACAGTGAACTTTTAATTTGAAAAATTTGTAAGAAAGGAAAGTTTTTTGCTTTTTCTGAAGCAACGGCTGTTCCTACCTTGCCCAAAAACAATACAGCTCTTCTATAGAGCAGCACGGATCAAATGTAAAAAACTAGAAGTCTGTACAATGTCTCGTTATTGAGATTTCTTGCTGATTAACTTGCTTGCTTGCTTGCTTGCTTGTTTGCTTACAGAAATCGTATTTTGCGATTTTCTCAGCAATGCCACAACCAATTTGAAATCTGTTTTTTGAAAATGATGTAAAATTTCAGGCACAAACTTTTCTTCTGTGACCTTTTATAACCAATTTTGCTTTGTTTTCTCACAAAATGCGAAAAACTGATTTTTCAATCTGAACAAAACCAATAGATTCACACGTGAAAACGGTGAGAATATAAAAAAAAAATTGATTATCAATTCACAAAAAAGTACTCACTCTCATTTCTGGGCAAGAGAAGTTAAAACTAAGGAGATGAATGATACTTAATTTTTGTCTGTTATGAACTTTTTGGATGTCATCTAGCTGATCTAAAAATATAAATATATTCATTATATGGAATGTATAGATAAGTGATAAGAAATGTTAAACTTATGCTAGTTTTGATGATTAAAAATTGAAGCAGAGACCTATCTGATCATTGAAACTAATCAGTTCACTGCAGGGCCAACTCTTGTTTTAACCATCTTAATCTTGTTTCTCTTAGCACATTTAAAAAACAACTTTTAAACAGTGCTCATTGTGCACATCCTTGTCATATCGTTGTCACTCTTTATACTAATTGAGAGATCAGTTTCTGGTGCAAATATGTATCCTGCTTTTTGTAACCCAGCTGGTGAGAATGGAATTCAAAGCCTCACAAAAGAAGGTTACAAATATCCTTCCTGTTGCCTAACCACTCGGTTATAGAGAACTTAATCTTGTACTGGAAGATTCTCAGACAAAACAACAGTTTAACGCTTTGTCTTTAACGTCGAAAACTCACACTTGTGGACGACTAAAGCTCATGGATCACAATTGATCTATACCACCAGCGAAGTAAGTAAGTAGTAAGTCGAAAACTAAAAGATTCAGGCTATTTAATGTGTTTAATCCACATATATTTTCAATTTTCCATCAAAACTTAAGTATGATCAGCTCATGACATTTTTAACCTGACTATGAATATTGTGTAGGTTGCACACACTGGATCTTTGAAGCAATTTAAATATCATTTCGTACCTAAAATAAGGTTGAGAAATTAATATGTAAGCTGATGTTTTTCTGATAGCAAAGCACTTACTTACTTACTTCGCTGGCCGTACAGATCAATTGTGATCCATGGCCTCCCTTAGATGGCGCCTGAAGCTGACTCTGTCGCTGGCTTCCGTTTGCCAATTAACCATACCAAATGCAATACTGTCTCTGTCAACAGCTTCTTTCCAAGAGTTCTTGGGTCGCCCGCGTGTTCTTTTGCCATCTACAAAAACATTCTTAAAGACTTTATTAATGGGAGCTTCAACAGGTCTCCTAACGACATGTCCAGCCCAACGGAGTCTGTTGACTTTGATTCGTCGTACGATATCAGCTTCATTGAAAAGCTGATATAATTCTGCGTTACTCCTGCTTTTGTAAAAGTCACCTTCTCTCTTCGGTCCAAATATAATTCGCAAGACCCTACGCTCAAATACACCAATTGCGTTCTCATCTGCGATAGTCATATTCCATGACTCAGAACCGTACAACACTACTGGGCGTATTAGTGTCTTGTACATCACTAGTTTGGCATTTCTCGCTATTCTCTTCGATGTTAGTAAATGTCTAATTGCAAAATATGCACGCTGCGCAGCCAAGATCCTTCGCTTAATCTCCACTTGTGCAAAGCACTTAGAACTTTCATTTAATTAATATTCTTCTAACAAGCGGATGTTATTAAATTCAGCTTATTTTTTTGACGATGACTTTTGAAAATAGTTTGCGGGAAATTCAAATATGAAATATATATATTTTTTTTTTATAAATAAATTTTAAAAGATATTGGACAAGAAGTTATTGTGTTACTAATAAATTTATTTCGTATTAAGCACTATTAAGTTTAAAAGGGGTTTAATGAATCTTGCTTCTCGAGTATACTTAATTTACACAATTCGGAATCATTTTGAATATAACGTATCGTTAACGGGGGAGTGAGAAGAGAGCTTTTTTTTCTGCTGTCTGTTTTCAGTAATTGTTCAAAAGGGATTGTTTTTTTTAATAAGGGGTTATAAACAGAAATGCCTCAAAATTGAAATTTTTACTAATTAAGCTTTTCCATTTGCACATTTTTAATTCATAAACCTTAATGCATAGTTTTAGCTATAAAAACGCTATTATATTATTTTAAAAATGACATATATTATTAAAAATTTTCGACGTATCAAGAAGAAAAAAAACATAGAATTTCAACAGGAAGGGGCTCTGGGAATTGATAAGTAATGCTGTGAGAGATTAAATTGTAATTTATTCTCATTTTTTTAATATATTTATTAGTATTAAATTAACGCTGCTAGTGAAATGAAACAAAACATAAATCATTTAATTTTACTTACTTTTTTATAAAAAGATTAAAACTTATTTAATATTTTTGAAAGTTTAAAAAAACTCAGAATTGATTTGTGATAAATTGTGTCTTAAATGAAATTAAAGAATTCGAACGAATAAAATACAAAAATGCTTTAGTTGCGAAAGCCGCCATGACACTTCATGAGATGATGCAACTTAATTGTAAATTTATTCGGATTTAATTTTTTTAAAAAATATAAAATATTATATTTAAGATTTGTTCAATACGAACGTGCTACAATAAATTATTAATTATCATATTAATTACAAATATGAAAAGTCTTATAATAACTTGTGACGGTTCTTGGTAATACCCTTTAAATATATTGTAGAAAAATACAATCTGCAATCCAATACTAAGTAGTATCAATAAAAGGACTAATATCCAGCTTCTGCTATCATGTGGACTCCTTAATACAGTAAATAATTGTTTAATATTTATTTCCATAATATTTAGACACATTAGCTGTGCTTCTCTTTCCAAAATATTCTGTAATTTAAAAGTTTTATTAATTATTTTGAGATAAGATCCAATTTTAAATTCAAACTTACATTCACGAATAAATTGTTCATTTTATTTTTATTTTATTAATCTTAGAGAAAAATAAAAAGCTGCTTGTTTCAATTTTATGATAAACGATAAAAATACACACGTGGAAAAATTTGATCTGTCAAACACTAAGCTACCCCTTTTATCGCATTTTTTAAAAGGTGTCGTTATGCATTTGAATTTTTTTGATTTTTATTTTTTTTTTATATATAATTTTAGCTTAAGAGAATTTCATAAGCTTGTAATCACCATATTCTTGAGAATATTCCAACAAGAAGTCTGCAGATGGAACCTATTTTAAAGGGATATAAGAGAAATATCCAAATTAATCTTCAAAATATCTTACAAATAAGGTATATAAGAATAAATCTCAGTAGTACATCCAAAACTTCAACCAAAAATAATAAAAAGAAGAATCCAACCAAAATTGTTTGTTACGTAAGAGATTCCAAGAGGTTCATCATTATCAAGCAACAAAAATGTCACAGGAGGAAAATTCAGCAAAAGATTTGAATATCAATGAAACCTTGAAAGCAAAGCTAACGCCTCAACAATTGATGGAATGTAAAGAAGCTTTCGACATGTACGACAGTGATGAGGATGGTATAATAACCACTACACAGCTTGTGTCAGCTTTAAGAGCTTTGGGTTATAACACAAGCCAAATTATTATTAAGAAGATTAAGAAGAAGAATCTTGAGAGTGAAGATGGTATAGGCAAATTGAAGTTTGAGGACTTTGTTAAGTTTGTCATTATGTACATTCGTTATGCATTCACAAAAGATGACATGATAGCAGATTTAAGACCCATTGATGTTAATAATGTCGGAAGTATTACAAAATTGGAACTTAAAAATTATCTAAAGGACTTGACAATTCCGCTTAGTAACGACGAAATTGAAGATGCTGTAAATGCCACAGATTTTAATAATGACGGAAAGATAGATTATAATGAATTTGCCGCTATGATGTGTCCTGATGATAAAAATTCGTGAAATTGAAATTTTCTCTCGTTCCTTAAATTCTCATTTGATGTTCCTCACTATCGTTGTCATAATCATAACCATAGCAATAATCAGGTTTATTTAAACAGTAAAAAATGTTGTTATACCATGACTCCTCATATAATCAGCAGGTAGTCACCTTGATTGTTACACATAAAAAAAGGAACAAAAAAGAAAAAATAAAGACAACACAAAAACAGCAAAACATAAAGGAAAGCTTTTCCTTGACGCCGAAATTATTAAAGGTAGTCATAGTGATAAATTTATTAAGCAAACACATTTTTAACCTTTATGTACAACGTACATGAATGAAAGAAGAGGGAAACATTTTTTTGGGGACTGTTAACAAATGACGTTTAATTGTAAGGAGCTTCTAGAAATATTCAAGTGGTGTTTGTGAGTCAGAATATCCTCTAATAAAATGTTATTGACATTTTGCTCAATTCTAATCGACTTAGCTGTGTAAACAGGAAGGGGAAGGGATAATCTTGTGATTTTTTCTAGATTTTTGGATTTATACCTTCCCCCGTACGTAACTTGGCTTAACTACTTATTCCTTTTTACACTCAAAATTGTACTAATCGACAAAAAGGTTCAAATTGGCATAGCGAAGCTGTTGCAGTGGCAATGTCGCGAAATAATTTATGTGCATCAGATATTTACTTACTTCTCTGACTGTACAGATCAATTATGATCCATATCCTGCCTGTCTAAAATGGCGCTTTAAGCTGACTCTATCACCGGCTTCCGCTTGGCAATAACCAATATCAAGTGCAACACTACCTCTGTCAACAGCTTCTTTGCAAGAGTTCTTGTGAAGTCCGCCTGATATGAATGCAGGAGGCTTGAAATCCCAATTTTTAATTGACATCATTTACGAACTCCCACTTGAATCTTTTCCCCGTCCTTAACCTCAATACAAAGAACAAGAATTCACAAATTTTTTGAATCTTAATTTTATGCTGATTAAGTCGATCTCATTTATGTTTGTGGGTCTTAAAAAATCTTTTTGCTGAGTCTATTTATTCTTAATTAATTATCTATGCATTGAGTGTAAAGGCGGACTTTATCAATAGGATTTTTTTTTTCGTACATAAAGCTAAAGGTATATTTATCTTGCATGAACTGAAAAAAATGAATCATGGACCTTTTTTTTCTCGTTAATGAATGAACGGAGCTGTAATTCAGGCATGCGAAATATTGAATGTAAGGATAATGATGAAAGCATAAGTTACAGAAACAGAAACAGAACCTTTTGCAGTCAGTCATAAATAAAAAGAAGAAACTATTCTTCTATATGGATAAACAATCTTGTGCCATAAAAAAGCAATGAAATATGTGTACATTTGGAGAAATATTGACTTAGAAATATTAGGAGAGGATGGTCATTTTGACATGACGGTATTCGACCTAAGTTTACAGTAAACAATGCCGTAGGGAGTACAAAGTAAATCGTAGAGAAAGGTGAATATCTTTTTTGGATCGACATTGACAGGAAAGACACTTGCTTTGAAATAAATACAATTTTCGGTAGAAGTAGAAGTAAAAAATCGTAGACGAAAGAAAAAGGGACGTAAACGAAAAAGTTTGAGCGACAGTAAGTTTATTTATTTTTTTTTACAAAACTCGCACAGGAAAGGAAAACATTTTAAAGTTGTGATGTGTTCTGCATTGAGAACGCATATTTTTTTATACAATGGATTAACTTTGACTATGCCAGTGTATTTCAAACTAATAGTGTGGCTTGTGATTTATTGAAACATCTAGAAGGAAGAAGCAATCTTTAGATGAAAAAGTATAACTCTGAATAACGGATCCCGAGCGGGACTCGAACCCACGTCCTACGATTTCTAGTCGCATGTTCCTACCACTAAGCTATCGGGGGTTCGACGACTATATGGTTAAATCCCATCAAAACTAATCAAACCTTAGGCTCAAGAGTGTGCTGCTAAAAACAAAAGTTCGGAAGACACTTGAATCTAGAGATGATTGATTAACTCTGTTTGGCTTTAGTGTGGGTATAAAGATTATGTCTTTAAAGACTGTGCTACAGGAAGGAAATAGAAAGTTATTACAAGCTAGTCCAATTCCTTAGATGTTGTGTGACTTCGCCCTGCATGGATTTAAAATCTTTGATCCAAACTTAATCTTAACTCACAAACAAAATCCTAGCTCAACTTAATGCACAATAAGTATAGTCCATATACTTTTCTGTCATAAATACAAAGCAGATGATTCTTTTTAAGAAAATAAATGCATTAAAAAGGACAGATTTATCTTTTATCTTAGTTTCCTTCCACAACTTCATGTGAATATACCATTTTAATCCCTCAAAGAAGAAGAAATGTTTTCGGATTTGTTCAAGTTTTAAAGCACTCTTCTTGTGTCATTACATTGTGGAAAAAGGAGGCAGCAAAAAATAGTTACTGATGCGTAAAGAAGTAATGATGTGTAACAAACTTTTTTTCTTTTTATTAATATAGCAAATCTGAATGGAAATACGGTAAGACCTCCCTGTACCTTAACATATATTTCACAAAATATTGCAAATGATTAAATTAACAGCACACACATATCCATATTGAGGCTTTCATACCATAAATGGATTTGTATGTACTTAAATAATTGTGGCTGAATGAATTGAAATATTATCAGGTGAAAAATAATCTTTATTGAATGCTAATTTCGACATTCACAGCATATAAATAAGTGCTTTATTAATGTTTATGAACCTCCTTTGCTGACTATATAGTATGGCTGACGTCGCCTCTTATTTATGGCTTACAGTCATTGTAACATTTTCACAATAATACGCTATTCTTCCTTTGCCTTTATGCCCATTTATTATTTGACATAAAAATTTGTGAAACGAAATACGATAAAGTATATTTTTTTTTTGGTGGTTTTGGTATGAAATTGAGGAGAAGGTAAGTAAGAAGCTAAAGTCAAATAGACTGAAAAAGGCAACAATAAATATCATGAAACGAATTTCCCACATCATGAAATTTTATTTTCTTTTCGCAATTCTTTTATCGTTTTTATTGATTCCAAATAAAAAATGTATATAGGAATCGTTTGCTTTAAGTTAATCTAAAAGAAAAATGAATCTACCTGACTTGAGCCTTTTCATCTATTCATACAGCCTATATCGACTGCTTTCCTCTGTAGATTAAAAGTAAGTATATGATGAAGTCATTTGACATTAATAAGAGCGCATTTTCAATAGAATGATAAGAGTTTGGCAAGGAGTGGTAAGGGATTTGGCTATTGTCTAACAAACCTCTTCCTCTTTATCCTTTGCTTTCAATCTCTACCATCTCTCAACTTACTCTCTCTGGTGTCTTACTAACATAGCTTTTGGAACTCTTTTATATCATTTATAATAAACCTGAATGGTACATGGCAAACAATAGTGGGACAAGTTTGAAGTGAAGCCGGATGCTGACTTAAGAAAACTAGTTTTAAGCCTTATGTCATTTGGAAAAGACTATATTAAAACATCGACCCACTTATCAGCATATCCTTCGGCTCAAATTCTATTGAAGTAGATAACAATTACATAGGATGCCTTACACAAAATTGCACATATCCAGCAGCATATTTCATGAAATTTTCAATTAGCACTAAACGCTCTCAGCTTGTCGCCACGTATGGGGTTACATAGCTTGGCTAGAACTTTCTTATATTTCACTTATTAGATGAAAAAAAAATCTGTGGATCTGCGATACCTTCAATGGAACAATGTTTAAATAGAAATCCCTAATCAAATGATAGTTCCACAACTTCCTGTATAAAGTTAAAAACCAAATACGACACAAGAAATACAGCCATGTAGACGAACAGACAATTCATGAATACTAATCGACTTCTGCTTTCCAAAAATGCTCTCAAAAAATAAATGTAACAATGGCGAGCACACATTTTGAATGAAAATTGTTTCTTTCATATACGTATAAGGGACACAAGTGTAAACCTCACCCACAGTCTCCATATTTTCATTTAAGTTTATGATTTTGATCACGTAGAAAAGGGATACACACACAAATATTTCAAATATGAAGAAAGATCCATTCAAATAGAAAAAAAGGAAAGAAGGGAGGAAAATATCATGCAAAACTTTCACAAAAAGCATAAGAACTTTTTCCTGTGTCTCGTTCCTTTTTGCTTCTTCATTTCCTTTTTTTTTTTTTCAAGCATTTGCACATCATTTTCCCTGCAGTCATTCTCATCGTTTGTGCCGTAATCTGGTGGGGAATTAAAAAGTTTTTTCACGCCACTTATAAATTGGCATACTTAAAATCATGATTTGGAACGAAATGATATTTTACCCACGTTTTTGACTACTAATTAAATCTGAAGCAACCACAGAGAAGGAGGAAATGGATGAAGGAAGTTTTCTGTCCTTTTTGTTAAATTTTTAATGTGTAACATCTTCTTCTTATGACTATGCAGTTTCATCACGCCACTATAATCAAATATTCTATTTATTTTCGCAGCTGTAATCATCATAAACAGGAATGGACGCTTTGACATTGATTTATGAGAAGTTCTTACACGCATTAATATTTGAGATTAAGTTTCATGATGGTTCGTGGAATATCATATTAATTAGGATTTTGGATTGGGGCCGTTCACTTACGTGGATTGGGGACGTCCGACATTTAGGGGGGAGGGGGTCTAGGATTTTGTGACAGTTCAAACCCGTTCAAACAATGGAAATTTTTTTCTATAGAATTTTTGTGACAAAGGGGGGGGAGGGGGGTCTAAAAATCAGGTTTTTTGATGGACGTCATAAGTGAACGACCCCTTTTGATTGTTTGCTATTGCTGCAAAGTATGTGGAAATGATTAAGAAATGTTTTTATTAATTCATAGCTTGAAACTGTAGCCTTGAATTCTTTTTGTGAACTGTCACAAAATCTCAGACTTCCCTTTCACCTCTAAATCAAGGGTATGGAACTAAAGAATTATCATTTTTTGATCATTTTTGATCATTTCATCAGTACCACACCCTTAATACGAAGCTTAATAAATGAAAATTCCCAAGTGAACGAACCTTACGAATTAAGTTCTGAAAAAATGACCTTAACCTTTACAATTCCTCAAAACTATTATTTATAGGCATTCTTCAGATATGTCATGTGTTTTCAATGTCGTTATGTCCTGTATATTCATGTTCTTAAATAATACAAATCACAAATTGAATATCATGTTTGCTGTTTAA